CAGGAAGGGAAAGAATTGTAGAAGGTGTTGCTAGACTACTTGCCTGACCAGCTGTGACCTGACTGGGACTGTGTGAGATCCCAAAGGATGAAGAGGGAATCAGCAGAGAATATATGTTATGAGAAGGGAAGAAACTAGATGGGCAAAGTGTCCTTAAACATCTCTTGTGAGTGCGCTGCGAAATGCTTCCCCACGCAGGTAGGGCACAAGAGGTCAAACACTCCTTCCATTACTCACATCAGCAGATGGGTTCATTCTTTTTGTGACACCGGTTTGCTCCAGTCGCATGGAATCTTTACATCTTGCCGAAATCTAGTTTGTTACCAGTTTCCCCATTTTTTCACCTGTAGCCATTTTAGAGTGAGCTACTCATAATTAGCCTCAAAATTTATGTCACTTCTGAGTTCATCAGCCAGTCAAGGTACCATTAAACCAGCTTGGTGTTAGGAGAGGACATCGTTCCAAGGTGGCCTTAGAGAGCAGAACCTGGGGTTTCTTTCCCTCTGCAGGGTCAGAAAAATTCTAGTTTTCAAAATATTTTGTACTATCCTGTAAGATTTATATATAATAATATATGAAAATATACATGTAATTTAGGATTAGGGGGTGCATTTGCATATGTATATTGGGCATAACTATAAAAATATGTAAGTAAATTAACAATTGACATAGATTGGAAAGGATAGTTGGAGGCTGAAATACCAGACAGGAGGCTGAATACCGGCCGGAGAGGAATACCGCAGAGGCAGATCAGCCAGATAGGAATTAACAATGTGACAGTGTCTGAACGTACGTAACTGTTGTGTTATGTTGTGTAAGAGGACTATGGTGTGTAAAACAAGGAAGGTAATTATTCTGCTCTGCTTAGCACTTGATAGCTCTTGGCTGCAGCACTTAGACGCAGTTGAGAGGATGGCGTTTCGGGGAAGGCAAACAGCCTGGAAGCAGCCTTGAGCAGAGCAGCAGCCAGAACGAAGGGGCATAAATCCTACAGGAACAGGGTGAGAGGACAAGACTTGCCAAGCTTGCGGCAACAAAGAGAAGGTAGCAGTGAAATAGGCTAAAACTCGATACACAAGAAAAGAGCTCAGACAGCAGCACTTGATGCCAGAGAGGTCTGAAGCACTTTATAGATGTATGCTGAAGACCAGAGTTTTCCCGGGATGCGTATTTTATGGAAACCACTTGGTGAACAGCTAAATTGAAACAGAGAGTTTAAGTGGTTTATTGAGCGTGGCAGAGAGGGGCAGGGGAGGCTCTGGCTAACTCTTCTCCCAAAACTGTTCTGCAAATTGCGTCATGGATTAAAATATGCCCTGTCCACCCCGGAATATAATGGAGGAAAACAAAGACGATGAGGGATCATGCTCTTCAACCCCTCTCTGCTACTCATTCCTCATTGAGTAGGTCTCTGCTGGGCTATTAATTCTGTGAGCAATTGGACTGAGGAAAATTACCAAGGAAATTTTGCAGTCACTTTCATTACAGATATTATTACTGGTTGTCTATTGCAATCAGCAGAGCCTGTTTCATCAGTGTGATGTAGCAATTTTCATTCTTTTGCGTATGCTCCTGTGAACAATAACAGGACAGCCTGTGAGGAACGGCTGTGATTGCAAGCTGAGAATGTGAATTTTTTCTGATGGGAAGCGGGTGAACAATTCCACCAAAATTCTCCCTTCTCCCGCCTGCACCAGCACTGATTTGCTTCAGGGCACACTGATGGAAACCCTGTTTCTCTCCTATTGCTGATGTCGATCTAAGAAGATCTAAGAGAATATTCCAGAGTCCTTAAAACGTAGGAGCCCTTCCAGGCGGTACCCTTTTGCCTTCAGGGGGTTAGCTGTGGTACTTGCAGAGCCTGGGGTTCTTCAGCTGGTGACAGAGAGGCACTCCCTGGATGAGAAGGGAAGGTGTAGCTTGGAAAAGCCTGCTGCAGGACAACAGGCATGTTCCTACACCTGCATGCCTGCGTACATGGGGCTGCCCCACAGGCACCAAGACACAATCTGTCATGATGCGAGAAAGCTGCAACTAGCCTTCCTGGGAAAGGAAAGCTGGGTGGAAGAGATACACAGCCCTGCTTCACACCTTCCTTTGACAAAGTCACTGTTTCTGAACTACTGTTTCAAGGACAGCGGTTCCCGAGGTGCAGAAGCATGACACCAGCAGTCACCGAGAGCACAGCCACCTCGCCTGACCTGCAGATGCTCAGATGCCAGAGTCAGTTACCCTCTCCCCAGATCTGAGGTGACAGCTAAAGGCATGAAGGAAGGGGCACCTCACCTTTTGTGTGAATAACAAAAGGAGGTTTTATCACCACTGGGTGCTGTACTGTTTGAGGGCAATATCAGAGCTGTTTTGACCTCATTAGCCAAGGGAGAATCAACAAGGATCAAGATAAGTGATAAGTAAAACTGCTGACTGCATTTTTGATGCCAAATACAAAGGAAAAATATTTTCTCTACCTACCATAGAGTTTCTTCTTTATTACTGCAGTGGAGTTACATTAGTCCACTGAGCTGCTTGGACATCACTCTCTCTCTGTAGGTATCTTTGGTCCAGCTATGCCAGTGGAGGACAGTTTTCTGTCTCAGCTGTCCCACCACGTACCTTCTATTTCCCATGGGCATGCCTGGCTCAAAGCATGCAGGGTTTCTTAAAGGTCCTGCCTCCTGGAGGCTTGAGGGTTGCCTAGGCTAGTGGCTGAGCCATGCTGCCAGCAAGGAGATCTGAGGTGTCATCATTAGTGGAACCAGACCAGTTTGGGCACCTGTGCCTGGCATGACCAGCCATGCTGGTTGAGAGAGTCTGCAGCTGTACAGCATGGGGCTTCTTTAAACTGCTGTCACTGTACATAACCAGTGCTACATCAGATATTAAGAGATTTTTTTTCCTCCCTATGATGGAAAATTTGTTTTAATATTCTGATTTATACAGTGCAGGCCTGTATAGGTTCTGGATCTTTGGCTTTAAACATAAGGTTGATTTTGTCATAAAGCACAAGAACAGACATAGATAAATCTAGCAGCCCTCTAGTCCATGTAATTGTTCCAGGTTTATGCCACTACTGCTTCCCTGTTCATATCAGTAACTACCTTCCCCCAAGGACATTGAACCATTACTACTAGGAGTGCCACCATCCTATTACTGCATTGTCAAGGTTACAGTACAGTTCTCAGGTTGCCATTAAAAGCACCATGCTCCTACTTCACTGACAAGGCACCTCAGCTACCGCCATCCCTGGGTTCGACTCTGATCGTGCTTGCAGTGCCATGAATTAGGAACAGCATTGCCATGAATTAGGAACAGCATTGCCGTAGCCAATGAACTTCAACTTCTAGTTTGTAAACCAAGTAAGAGTGGAGAATCTTTTCCAGGATGTCAATACCTCTAGCACACTGCCTTTAACATCAACACCATTTATGGCCACTAGCACTGTACCATGTCCATATTTTTGTCAACACCAAGGGCATTGACATCTCTAGGCCCACCCCACTACAGATGCTGCAGAGGTTGCGGTGTTCAGCTGGTTCCTGGTCTTTTTTTTTTTTGCTAACATTCCTTAAGAAACAGAGTTAGGTGGTATGTTTACCTCCCGGCTACTGAAGTCCCAGTTGTTCACATAAGGCAATGAATCACTTATGAATCTTATCGCAGGATATGATCAGGCTGACTGATTAATTCTTCTCTACCTGTGATTTCTTCCCTAAGCACTGATCCTCAGCAAAGTGACACTGAAATAAGTCTGAAGCCTGAGAATCTTTCATGTCTTCACCATCACCTACTTACCAAGGCTCACCAATAACATTACTTATGACCAGAATTGTTGCCCTCAGCTGACCAGTTATGTTTCATTGCCATCTATAACCAAGGTGCCTGGGCAATGCCCAGTTGTAGGGTGCGTTAAGGAACTACTCAGAAGACCACATCCTCCCTGGCTTCTGTAGCATTAGCCCTGGTTACTCCTCATGCACCTGGGGGAGGATACCCCAGCTCCTGGAACTCCCACAGAAATCATGAGGCTGACAGCAGGAGGAAATACATAAAAACTTCACTCCCCTTAAAGTCCATGAGGTGTTTTCATGAAAGTAACTGCTTTCAGCCCAGCAAGGTCAGCTGGGTCAGTTATGTCAAGACTTTGAGTTATAGCACTGCCCGTGTCCTTCCCCACCTCGCTCAGCCAGCAGCCAAAATCCTCCTGGGCCACAATGAGCAGGTGCAACACAGAAAGGAGGAGGAGGGGAGGCTGATGTGGTGGGGCCAAGGAAAAGGGGGAAAGCTGCCCTGACACCCCATCAGTGGGGTCCCCACATCTGCAAGGGCTGCTCTGCTGGGCACCCCACCGCTTGTCCTTGCCCATGCCGCTGCCCTCCTGCACAGGGATCAACAGCCCCAGGGCATCACGCACAAACCGACACCTCCCCAAAGCCGGGTCACCTCCCCAGACTGCTTGTTGCATATTTGGGGGCTGTGAGGTCAGCTCGTGCAGCCTCCTCACTGCAGCACCATGGCAAGTTGCGCTAAATGGTTAGACGTAGGCATGGAGGGGAAGGTAGGGCAGGCAGGGGCACGCATGCCCTACACGGGCATCGGCACCGACTCTCTTACCTCCCTCAGGATTTTGAAGGACTCTGTCAGGGCCTTGTTCACAGTCCCCACTCCTTTTGCCTGCAGTTCATCCACCAGCTGCTTGAAGTGCTGGCAAGGAGAGAGGCAGAAAGGCAGCAATGAGTTTTGGGCAGGGAAGTCCCTTGGACCAGGGGAGTAAAGGGTAACCAGGAAGAGTCTGTGCTGTTGGGCTCCTGATCCTTCGCTGCTGCTGGTTGGGCAGTGCAGCACCATGACGGATGGAGGTGGGAAAGTCAAGTGGCAGCTCCTCCATTGGCAGTGCCATCATGCTGCCCCTACACCCACACAGCCACGGCAGGGCCATGTTTCTCAGCCTCTGAGCTGTGGACTGGTGTTGGTCCATCAACATCATGCAAGGGGCAAAACTATTATAAATCAGACTTTCCCTTATCTACTGCTTCTGGGGGCGGGGAAGGTAAAACTAAAATCCTGTGCATGCAAGAACAACAGGATTGGGGAAAAAGGAAAGCAATAAACAAACATTCAAATTTTAACAGGCATTGATGTGGTTGTAAATGAAACCCTCAAAGTGCTCTCTGTAGGGTTCCCAGTGCCCCAAAGGCTAGGGGTTCTTTTGGGAAACACTGCAGGAGACCTCACCCTCTGGAGTCATACTGTCACCCAGGGCTAGGCTGGGAGAGAAAGCCAATTGCTGAAGACATGGAGGGATGTGCTACCTCTGTGTTATTAATACAGAAAGAAAAAGGAAGAAAACACAGTAAGAGCAGCTAAAAATACAAGTCAGCCCGGAGGGTGGTGGAGCAGCCGGATGCAGGCTGACCATCCCCAGGGCTGCTGAGCCCTCCCGGATCAGAGCAGCAAAACCTCTCACTGGAAAGCTTGCTGGAAGTCCATCCTGGCAAAGGATCAGGCCAGTCTGAGAATACATTCACCAATAAGGGGCTGATTTTTCTTCTTTCCAAGGGCTGAGGATGTGCACTTTCAAAGATGGAGAGCCTTTGCCTCCTGCATGCTCTTTTTCCACAGCAGCCTGGGAAGGGACCACTTGTGCTCCGAGGGTGTTGTGACACAGGGAAGCTGATGGGTGCTGTTTAGCTGGCTGCTGACCTGATATTACAGCAGCTTTTTGTAAGCAAAAGGTTAACCACCGTGCCAGCACACACCACTGAGCTGGTGCTTGTTTCCGACATGCAAATCCACAGGCTCCTGGGAGATGGTGGTTTCTTTTCCCTGGAGTTTCATGTCACAGCATCTTAACCCCATGCACTGGTTACATTAAGAGAACTACCTGAATAATGTCGATAGGAACCTGGCACTCACCTCTCTGTTATCTCTGTCTGCTTGGACCAGGATACCCTTAAAACAGGGTTCGATAAAGTGAACATAATCATTGTACTGCAAAGAGAAAGTGAAAAGAAAAGGGATGTAATGGGAGAAAATTCACAAGATGGGTTCACGTCCTAGGTGGATGTTCAAAAAGCAGTTTGGAGCATTATGCCATTTTATAGGTATTACCTTTAAGAATTTTTTGTAGTGAACATGGCAAACTAATTTTGATAAATCTTATATTTGTTTAAATAATGTGTTAATTATGGTGTTTTGCTGAGCTCTACCTGGGCATATCTACACATACAAGGGTACATTTTTTTCCCCCTCCCCCAGTCACTCTAGAGATTTTTCTCCACACTCTATTAGCTTGTGGCCCAGCCTTGCTTATAGCACTATTTGCCCATATTTTTGACTTCTGGAGACTTTTAGATTCCCCAGCCACCTTGCAAGCAGGTTTGTAGCCTAATGTCTGATGCCTCTGGCGCAAGGCTGAACGATAACACACCAAGTCACCACACGTCCACTAAACTGCGATAATTAGTGAGGTGTATGCTTCTGGCCTGATACATGTGTGAGGTAAAACATACCAGTGTAAACTGTTTCCTGCAAGGTTCAGAAGAACATAATTCATGGAAGCATGGCTAAGAGGCAACCAATGTTCAGCTCATCAATAGGAGCTTAGGTCAGGCTATAATGTGTCTGAGCCAGTAGGTTCTTGGTGTGAGCACGGTACAGTAAGGCTTGAGGGGGACTTCTTAAAAGAGCCTGTAGTGACAGGACAAGGGGTAACGGGTTTAAATTGAAAGCGGGAAGATTTAGATTAGGTATCAGGAAGAAATTCTTCCCGGAGCAGGTGGTGAGGCACTGGCACAGGTTGCCCAGAGAAGCTGTGGATGCCCCATCCCTGGAAGTGTCCAAGGCCAGGCTGGATGAGGCTTTGAGCAACGTGGTCTAGTGGAAGGTGTCCCTGCCCATGGCAGGGGGGTTGGAACTAGATGGTCGGTAAGGTCCCTTCCAACTCAAACCATTCTATGATTCTGTTTGTTCAGGGGTTTCTATAAAGCACTTTATCTGTTGCAGTCACATCCCTAAGTAAGCAAAACAATGTGGCTGATATCCTCCATACTGAGGGGTGAGGTGACCTAACAGCACCTGCTGACCACATGAGGCTGATTTCTCAGGGGTAATTGGTTTTAATCCCCCATCTAACATAGGTACTAAGTGTTGTAGTTACACCCCTGCAGTGCCTGTAGCTTGCTGTGGCAACTGAAGGGTTGGTACGAGGCACAAGGAAGACTTCTCAGCACTGGAAACAGGATGTACTTACCGCAATAATGTTGACAAAGTCATTTTCCCCCAGAGTATCTAAAATGGTGATGATTGTGTGTTTGGCAATGGTCATCCGCAGACCCTTCATGCTCCCACTGACGTCCACAACAATGACAATGTCCTTGGGAGAGGTGGCTGCTTGGATGTACCTTTATAAAAGGAAGAACATGAGGAAGCAGAGTGACTGTACAGGGAGGAGGCTGGGTGTGCTGCTGAAACATGATGCTAGCCACAGCATAACACATGCCCTGAGCACAGTTATCCGGCAGGGTCAGGCTGGGCATCCGATGGGTCCCTTCCTACCAACCTGTCTCTCCTGCTGGCCCCAGCAGCACCCTTTCCACACTGGCAAGTGCTGGGCCTGCTGCAGACATGTCCAGATTCAACTGAAAGCGACAACTGCTAAAGCCTCCTTCAGCCGTGCTGAGTGGACTGAGTAAACACCCTCATTTCTGGAGTCTGAACAGCCCCGTCCCCCCGGCCGCAGATTTATAAGGAAGGACACAGGGGTGGCAATTTCCCTGTGGCATGTGTTAGATGCCATCTGGAAAGCCAGTGCTGGCAGGTAGCAGGGCAGGCTTCCTCACCTCATGTTGCCCGTGTTTATATACCCCTCATCTCTCAGAGGAGCATCGTGGGGCTGTAAGCGCTGATCAATAGCTCAGCAAGGCATCCCCTTGGAAAAGAGGGAGAGAGCAACACAGGGAGGTGCTGTGGCCAAGTCTCTCCAAAACTCTTACCAGCCACGATTCCTGCAGTCGAAGGAGATGACTCCATTCTCATCTGGTAGCCACTTTATCCCTGAAGGGAGCAGCAAAAGGAGCAATCAACACACACACACACACAGGCAGGCATCTGGTCCCCACTCCCCAGGCACCCGGTGCTGCTGAGACCCAGCCACCCCGCAGGGTCACATGAATCCAGCCAGCAATAGCACCAGCCATCCTGCCGAAATATGAGCAAGGCCGCATTGTCTTGGGCAGTTCTCCATAAATTTATTAAATTTCTATTTAAAAATGTACCTGGGCATAGTCTGTTCAAACTTGGGGAGCAACTGCACTTACTTTAAGCTTTCTGTCACTTTGGTGTAGTTCTCAACAACATCTTTTTCTCCCCAAGAGGGGTTGAAAGCATTAAAAAAATGCAGCAGCAGTGACAGGGATGTGTCCCAGATTCTCTGCTAAAGGCTCCGTTACGGTTGCCTCGGCTTTCCCCTTCCACAACATGTGACAGGTCACAGAAGAAGGGCACGCAGCCATCTGATGGAGGGGCCACCAGGCCAAGCTACAGCTGCTGAGGACCTCGTGGATTCCTCTAAGCACAGGGCCTGCCTCTTGTGCCGTGACCTTACATGCCACTCGCAGCTGGCAAGCGCATAACAAGTCAGGCTGACCAGCTGCGTCTGCCATGTGTGGCTTCGGAGACAGAGACAGGCTGCGGATGCTGCTAAGGACCACCAGGAGCACGAGGTGGGGAACTGTCGTGCAGCCCCCACACCCCCCGTGTGAGATTCCCAGGTCCTGCCATGGCGTGCCGTGAGCTTTTTGGAGGGCAGTCTGCCCAAGGCACGACCCTGCGAGCAGACTCCTCTGGGGTTGCATGGACAACATGCCTGGGGGGCTGGTCCATAGGGGAAAAAGGGGTTTATGCCTGCCATGGGCGCTATTCCTTCACCCTAAGCAGCAGCAGCCCATGCACCCAGTAATTTTTGTTCACGGCACGCTGCCCTTCATGGGGCCATGCTCCCCAAAAGCTTCCCAAATTGGGGTCTCCCATGGCATGGACCCTGCTGTACAAGACTATTGCTTTGCACCGGAGGAGCAAAGCCAGTCTCTGCTCTTTTACCCGGGTAGAGCCTGAAGAATCCAGTGGAGCTGCCAAAGTACTGCCAGGTCAGCGTGGGATCCCTTTCAAAGTTGTCCACAAAAATAGGATTCAGGGCTTCTGACATGTAAACACCGTTCAGGATGTCAGGGTCTGTGGGGAAAAGAATAGAAAATGATGGGGAAAAAAAGCGTGCAAAAGAGGGGAGGACACCCACCACCCCAGATGGAAGAGGAGGATAGGAATAAAGGCAACTCCAGAAGGAATACAGCCTTGTCCAAAGGTGGATTTCCTCATGGTCTGCAAAAGCCATGTGCCTTTATCCCAATCTCTCCCCTGACAATGATCTAACCCCTCGACAACAGCTTTCCAACAGGCACTGCAAAGGGGATTGGATACATCACCCAAGAAAATGCTGGCGGGCAGGTGACCACTGGTGATCTCAGCTTGGTCATACACTATCCTCCCTATTTCTCTTTCCAGCTTTGCCTGCCCTTAGGCATTCTGTCTGGTTGGAAGAGGGCCCTGAGAGGCCCAGGAAAACTGGCACTGTGCTGAGCACACTGGCACACCGCACAAGCGGGGCTCAGCTGTTACCCAAGATGGGCCGCGTGGCTGTTGGAGGGCAGCTGCCTGATGCACCACTGGGCAGAACAGCCTTCCTACTAAGGGTGTGTAAATTTATGCCAGGTGTAACTACCCAAGACCAAAGAGCTCTAGGATTTACATGGCATTTCTCTCCCTCTCTCTCACCAACAATTCTTTTTCTTCTTGGCCTGCCCTTTCTTTCACAAAGCCTGAGCTGTCCTCCCTTGCCCCTGATCTCATCAGGATCAATAGGAAGCTGCAGACTCGCAAGAGCTCATAAGAGACAGTGTATATTTAGTGTCTGTGTTGACTCATTGCCCCAGGAGACCAAACAGAGCAGCAGCAATAGAAACAGGCAATTGGAAGAAGCTGGTCATTGTAGGATTAAATGCATTAATGTTGAAAGAGACAGGGCTTTGACCTACCACTTCCTCTTCAGTCACTTCACTAAAGGCAGTTTTGGTCAAAATAGGGAAAAAATTGAACAGTGACTCCCCAGCAATATGGCCAAAGTAACTCAAGCAGGGAGGGAGCCAGAACTGTGGAGCCAGGCTTGCTGCTGTTTGCAAGAGAGGGAGTGAGTACTGTCAGGCACTGGTCCCAGGAGGAGCCCTGAGCATGGAAGCAGCCCTACTCCTCCTCCTCCTCCATCTCCTGCTCATCCTCTACCCAGAGCAGCTGGATGGTTTGTGTCTAGCTGTACTGGCAAGAAATCTGCTACCTGGACAGTGCCTCTCCGCTGTCCCTGACAGTGGCCATTTGGCCACCTCTTTCCATATCTGCTGTAGGCAGCAGCCTACTCCATGTAGCTGTGCTGTAGTTCCCCACAGCCAGCTCTGCTGGAGGCTCTGTTGTGAGCAGGATTTGAGCATCTGGGCCTGTCAGACCAGATGGAATTAATTTAAAATCATGGGAGAAATAGAACTCCCTCTATTGTCCTTGTAAATAACGTAGCAGTTGGAGTACAGTCACCAGCGCCTGCCCCGTCTGGTCCTGAAGACTGTAAATGAGCTCCATCTATGACAGAAGGAATGGACCTTATTTTTTCTTGCCAAAACACATGCAGGGGAAGAGCTGGTGGAGAGGCGGGCAAGGAGCCAGTTCAGGCAGCTTCAAATGCTGGCCAAGAAGAGTGGCAAGCTTGGGACAATCACAAGTGGTGTCTCAGCCTGCAGATTCAGCACTGTGCCCACCAGCCTGAAGATGGACTAGCTTCAAATGCTGGCCAAGAAGAGCGGCAAGCTTGGGACAATCACAACTGGTGTCTCAGCCTGCAGATTCGGCACTGTGCCCACCAGGCTGAAGATGGACCGGTTTCTGGTGCGTTGCTGGAGCGGTGGGAATGTGTAGGGGGAGAGGGGACAGACTGAGCACAGATGAGGCCATGGGAGCCTCGGTGCCTCCTTGGGCTCCTGCAGCTGCCAAAGGCTTGCTGAGAATGGCAAATAGCCTGGAACAGTCATATCCCAGTAGCAGTTGTGATTTACCCCCAGTCCCCTACAGATATACTGGAGAGAGTCCTCATGAAGCCTTTAGTGCCTCGTAACACAAAGGTACTTGGGGTCTAATTTCTCAGCTGAAATCAATGAGATCCTTGATACCTAGAGACCTTGGTAGATCTGACCCTTTGTAGAAAGTAACAATTGCCAAAATAAATTCACATCATGGATAATTTCACAGCTTCTTTGGTTGGGTAGATGAACCCTAGGAGACTACACTGCCTGCCTCAGATGGAGGTCTGTCCACCATTAGAGATCGTCAAGAGCAGATTATACCTAAACCCTGTCTCAGTGACAGACTACAGCAGACATCACTGTGCCTTGGGACAGTACCTTTCCAGCCCTGTTTTCTGTCGCCTTTTTTTTTTTATACTCTCATAATTTCTTTCAGTATTATTACTGATAGTTTTCACAGCAATCCACTAGTAACGAGAAAGTAGAGGCCATTACCTTTGTTGTAGACATTGGTGGGCAGCTGGATATCACTGTATGTTGTGTTCACCAGCAGGTTATTGAAATGCTCATTTGGCTCCAAAATGAATTCGTCTCCAAGCTCCACATAATTGTCATTTTCATCCTTCTCATTAATCAGGAGAGAGTTGTAGTAATCAAACTGTTGATAAAGACATGGAAAAGAGAAAGGCAATAAGAGAAAATAAGACAGACAATTACCAGCACGGGGAGAGGCGGGTGGGTGGGGGGAAAAAAAAAAAAAGACGCTCTTTAAAACATAAAAGAGACATCTGGGGAATTCAGGCTTCCAGTAGGATCAAGATGAGGAGCAAACAAAAGCCATTCCCAACTGAAAAATGTCAAGCTGCCCAAATGGTGGTTTCTGCCCAGTTTCTTATCGTCAGTACACAACCAAAAGTGTGGTCATAAGCGGCAGCAGAAGAGCCACCTGAGAGCGAAGGAACACAGTGACAGACTCCCGTGGTCCCTCCGAGGTATTTGACTAGCCAGAGAGGTGGAGTGTCTCACTGGGTCTGGCTCCCAGGCTTCCTACAGGGCATGCCAATGCTGACCTTACTTGCCCTGTCTCCACAGCTGTCATTTGCTGGAGTTAACCCCTCACATATATCCAGCCAGGATTATCCCCTCACTCTGTCGCTCCAAGCAGAAGGTGCTCATCAAGCGCAATGGATAGAGCAGGAGGTGCTCAAAGACAACGCAGGTTTCCCCTGGGAAGGCCACAAGGGATTTAACATCTATGGTCACCTCACTATCTTCAGGATGCTCTTCACCCTTGGACAACAGATGGTTTTTAAGATGTTTTTGTTGACTTTATCTGAGGGTGGAGGTTATTTAAGGATTTATGTTCAAGCACTAACAGGACTCGGGGTGTGAACTGTGCATGCAAATACAGGGTCACGTACCCCGACTCACCCATGACCATATTCATGCTGTGAATGCAGCTGACCTAACTAACATGACTAATGTGATTTTCTTAATGAAGAGGTAGGAGAGGTAAAGTCGGCAGATAGCTTGATTTCAAGAAGCATTTGCATTCCCACCCAGGGGTAGCCTGTACTTCTGCTAAGCAGCCTGTGCTTGTACTGTGGACTTCCTATCTTTTTTTTTTTCCACTCCAGTTCCCTTCACCAACAATAATCCCATAGTTTGTCTACAGTTTTTAACAGAAAGCCAATTATCCAAATTGCTTGGGCAGCACCAAGCTTTCACCTCGCAGGGAGTCCTGACAAGCGGGTGTCTGCAGGGTAGAGAAAAGATCATGGGAGCTGTTGAGAGAGATGGTGAGAAACTCTGCTCACTGGGATTAATGGTTTCCTGTGGGTATTTGTAGCAACGTCATCCTCATTGCTCATAGACACTCAATTTTTAGCTCATTTCCCAGTCAAGTAACCCAGAAAGCACCAACACATCACATAATGACAACGCTGGTGTGCAGTCAACATAATGCCAAAAACATCGGGCAACCCACTGTCTTCCCAAATCCTTCCCCTCCTGAAGCCAAGGGGACTGACCTCCTAGGTGTTACTAGGTTTGGGATCTGCCAAGGGAGTCGCTTATTCACGCTCTTCTAGACATGCTGAGTGTCCTGAAGAGAAGGAATCTCCTAACGTGCCTAGGAGCCTGAGGTGCCTGGGTGCTGCTGGGCCTGCCTCTCGGCGGGTCTCTCTGAGGGCGTGCGTCATCTTTCGTCACTGACGGGAGAAAACCCTTACCTGCAGCGAGGAGTTGTACTCATGGTTCAGATCTGCATCTTCTGCTGCTTCCACCAGCCTCTAATGCAAGCACACAGAAAGAAAGATGAGGGGGTGCTGTGGAAAGCCCTCCAGAAGCTCTTCCAGCTGCATCAGCCATTCACACACTTAGTGAAAAGACACACGACTGCCTCCTTCACCACAACACAGACTCACAGGGCTATAAACTTCCCTCTTCCCCTCCTTTTCTGCTGACCTGTCATTCTGTGCTGCAACTTTACAGCTTGGAAGGTATATTCACAGCTATTTATTGCCAAGTATATTCACACCTACTTACTTCAGAGTCCCTACTAAACCCCTGAGTAATCTTAGATGTCACAGGACATATACAAACAGAAACATGTCCACTTAGAGAAACAACAGCCAGAGATTTAATTTCATTTTCCGTGAACCCTTCCAAAAAGCCATGGGAAAGGCATTTCAGACCCAGGCTGATGTCAGTATCTCATTAAAGGAAAAGGCCTTATGGGAGTCTCAGTCTGGTATTGTTACTGAGACAAAGACCATGACTTGATTTCGTAAAGGGCTCAGTGATGCTGTGGCCATTTATAAGCTCTTACCATTTATGGAAGGCAATATAATCAACTAGTATTCTCCAGTATGATGCTTCAGGCCACTAATTCTCAGTTGGTGCAGTCTGGGAAGGAATCCAGCTAAACATGTACACACTCTCAGAGTTGCACAATCAGCGACAGTCTCGGCAAAACTACTTTTTGCTCCTTCACAAAGGATAAGGCAATCCAAATATTGGAAAAGCCTGGGTACGAATTTCATGTTATAGGCCAAAGCTCTGGGTCTAAATATGCCCACGTTTCACTTGGAGATTCAAATGATGTGTTTCTGGACGACTTTTCCACATTAGACACCTTAAACACTCAAGGCTCTGTGACTACAGCAATATGCTTTTCACAGTGGGTAAGTATAAGGGAACATAATAGATCCTTAGATGCAAGTAGTAAGAGGGGCCATAACGATTACCTGCTCTGATCTCCAACACAGCAGCAGCTAAAGACCTCTTGCCACCACCTCCTCCGCACTTCCCCATGTACACAGCTGGAAATCCAAGCACCTTCCTTGCAGCTCGTGTTCAGGGGCTACAGGAATTTCCCTTGAGCCACACACACAGCTGAAACAAGCTACCAATCTTCAATGGCCCAGAGGGCGTTATGCAAGGATGAACTTTATTTTCACTTGTGAGAGGTTTTTTGTCTTTAAACAGCTATAGAATCAAACCTCTTTTCTCCTAAAAGAGCGTTCGTTCCCTCACATTTATTCCTAGACTTTGTTTTTATCTTATTTCCTACTTTGGGCTGAAGGAGAAGCCAGCATTCCCTTGTCTGAACACCCGCATCCTCCCACCAGTGTCTACTTAAAGCTCAGAGCAAGCCAGCTGCACCAGCAGGCATTTGGTTGGGCAAGGAAGTCCTCATGTAACCTCTGCGCCCACACGCTCCCCGTACAGGCAGGAGGCCTGCATCTACAGCTCTGGGGCTGGCAGGAGAGGACTTCCTTCCCACAGCCCCTGTGGTCATACCTCAACAGCTTCAACCTTCCTGCGGAGCATGCTTTCCATCTGCTCCGAGAACTTCTTCACCAGCTCCAAGCCATCCACCTCTTTGATCTTCAGAGTTGGCTCCACATCTTTGTACTTCTACCCAAAGGAAAGCAGAAAATCCTGCTGAGCAGGAAGCTCATGAGGAGAGGGACAAGTCTATTGTTGTTAGCTGGGAACTGCCTTTGGTGAAGAAAGATGGGCTGAAAAAACTGGTCTGATTTACCACCTTCTTCCATCTTTGCCCTTCCTCCCTTTCTGCCCAATAACTTGGGTGGGTGCAGATCACTGCCCATAACACAAAGCATTTTGGCCCAGTAAAAGCAACCGATCCAATTATGAGCTTGAGGCTGTTGAAAGCAGCAATTTGCCCAAAGCTATTGGTGCCTGAGACTAAGGGAGAGAAGCAGAAGGCTGACTTTTGAAGACCTAAAATACACATAGTGCTTACATCCATAATAGCATTACGTGCATTACGTACTTGGAATTTACTTAAGGCAGAGGTCAGGGCAAGGGAATGAAGCTGTATGCTGTCATCACATTGCCTCCGATGTCATCTGTGCTCAGGGCACTAGTGGGAGAAACATCCTGTCCTCCCACAGAGCTGTCATATCTATAGGGAGATTGTCAGGTCTGCAGCAAGAAGGGTCTGCTCGCTGCTTAGGTTGGAGACCGCCAAGGAAAGGTCAGCAGGACAGTTACGATGCTACTTATTCAGCATGCATGAGCATGCTGTTGTGAGCATGGCTACTTAGTGCTGCCTCCACTGGGAGAGATGCTGTAGTGAGAAGAATCTGCATCCGACAGCTTTAGAGATAACCAGTTTCTTCTATGTTTCATATAATCTAGGCATTAAAAACCTCAGAGTACTCCCAAACTGGGTAACTGTAATCTACCTCCCCAAATCTGCCCTTTCAAGACTGGATACAATGGTCTTTATTTCTCCTTTTCAAGAAAAAAATCCCAAAGCTAACAGAGATAGGCAGAAAGAAATAAAAAAGATACATGCAAAAGGATACAATATGATCAACCTATTTCAGAAAAGACAGAGCCTTATCTCCCCAGCAATCTGAAAGTGTGAAGGCAACCGATTGACTCTCCCTGGTCCCTCGTCATCATTTCTCCCTGCAGCGTACACACATCCCCTCCATCCTCGTGTTGCATTAGCACCATAGCAGCGGTCTCAGTTGGGCTGGACGTCTGGCACTGGTACAAAACGAGGTGGTGAAAAGGGTAAGAGGATAGCAGGGGCTTTCAGGGCACTTTTGAATTAAAAGAAAGGTGAGGGGGGAGGACTCTGCATGTTCTTAGGATGAGGAAGTGGAGCTCCTTTTGTTCAAGCCGCTCATTGATGATCCAGGAGGGCGGCTGAGCACAGGCAGGATAAGAAATGCCTTGAGGATGGGGCAGGATGAGGAGGTCAGACAGAAATAGCAGCAGCATCCAGCCTGCAGCAGGCATGGCGGGGAGGCTGCTCGCTCTGCCTGGCGTGATTAACAGCAAGGGGTTTACTGGATTAAAAACACCAGGTCTCACATCCCCTCTGCTGCGGCTGGGTAGCTGGGACCGGCAGGGGAGGAGGAAGAGGTTGGGTT